CCCAAAGTACAAGTTTTTGAATAGCAGACAATGTGATCTGCAGAGGATCAGAGAGCTTAAGATTAAAAGTTAGAAAACACTTTAATAAATCCAATATGTGACATATACTAGCTAGATGGCTTGTAAAAAAAAATGCTTAAGTTCATTGAATTTTATTTTCTTCATAAGCAAAATATAAAAATGTCTATTCTAAGGGTAGCTGATTCAAGAGAAGTAAAACTAATACAAGGGAAGGAGATTTATAGACTAAAAAAATGAATAAAATACAAATTAAAAAAATCAGTATCAAAAATACTTATTTTTATATTTACCTCCATCCTTAGGATTCTTCTTTTCTGACACAAAGCACCTGAAGTTTTGGGAAAGCTCTTACAGAGTATCTTTATAACTACATTTTAAGCAAAGAATCTAGACTGGGAATGTAAATGTCAAAATTTCAACGTTAATCCTCCTATTTAGAGTACTCATAAGTATTTCATGACTTCAATATTAAAAGCAGCCAAATAGCTTATTTAGTTCTTCTAATTAACCAAAAACTTTCCAAGAGTATTGTACCAATAATCACTGTGATTAGCAACTGTTTGATTAGCAATAAATAATATACACATTCCAGGTCCAAGTATTGGACTTCAGAGTACTTCAGAAGGTCCAATAGGCTAGCTGCTGCATATATAAAAGGGAGTGTCAGATAGTCAATGGTTCTGTGTGGTGTCTAAACTGATTTCAGGCCTTGACTTCAGACTGTGAAAGTACAGATTCTGCCGATTATCTCTTTCATGACCTCGAGCAAGTTCCCCACTTCTTTGAGTCAGTTTCCTCATCTGTAATGGGCAAAAATATCATCATCTAGTCCTTGGAGCTCATCAAAGGCAGTAATGCAAGTGAAATGCCAAGGAACAGAGTTTCACACATGATTGCTATTGCTTACATGAGTTTTATTGATACATGAATAATGGCTCCTAAAACATAAAATAGGAACAAGTGTTTTTCTCACGGGTTCCTCAAAAGCATTGAAATCTAAAGGCCATATCACCTTCTACCTGATGTCTTAGATGGTTTTATTTTGATCCTTTTTTACTGCCAGTATAGGTATTTTAAGCAAGAGCTAGGCATGCTTATAAAGCTTGCTTTATTACTGACTCTGACACAGAGGTCTCTATCAGAACACACAGCACTATCAGGAACTCATTTTTTCATACTAGCTTTTTGCTATTTTGAGTTGTTTCTTTTTTTCTTTTTTTTTTTTTTTTTGCCAAAGAGATAACCTGTTAGAGTTGAGACCATTCAAACTAACTGTAATATAATAGCAAAGACTGACTCTTTTCAGTGATTCTTACAAGAACACAATTGGAAGTACAAACAAGACTGGAGTCTTTACTTTTATTTAGCTGACACTCCAGAGAGAATGTTAAATGAACATCAAACCCAGTTCACCTTTCCTGCTTTCTCTGCCAAAAAGCAAGTGACACCTTGCTTTATAAACTCCTCACTAGTTAGTCAAACACCTAGCAAGTGGATATCAATATTAATGCTGTCAGGTTTAATAATCACTGTTTGCATTGTTGCTACATATATTTTCATATTAGAATTGGGTGCCCCCTGGGGCCCTCCCTGTTGGCACAGCAGGGTAAAGCATAGCACTAAGGAGCTAAAGCCACTTCAGCATGAGTTCGATCCCCAGTTCCAGAGGTGACTCACATGGTGTGGTAGACCTCTCCTGACCCATCCGCTGTTCCCCTCAGCAGTGTACTTCATTGATCTGCCTGTTTTGCTCCCCACTCTGTCTCTGGTGCAGCCTCTCACCACCCCTGTACCTCTGGCCTGTACCCCAGTTCTGTATGCATCAATAAATAAATCTTAAAAAAAAAAAAAGAATTGGGTGTCTTCCTGCTTCTTTATCCAAAAGTCATATTTATTCTAGGGGCAAGCCTTAATTTTCTAACAATTGAGATTTGTGTCTATGATAGAAAAAGTGCAAGCTGAAACTACAGGTCCTCTGTGGCTATATCTTAACCCTATACTGAAGCTCAGCTTAATTTTTGTGTACATCATTTTATATCTACTCTCTAAGATGTTGCTATTTCCATTGAATAGACCATCTATATTTTTCAATACAAAAATGTTAAAAACAATCTCTAGGGTCTTATTTGATTCTAATAACATATAATTCTAAATGTAACTTATTATCTTAACTAGATTGATAGATTAAAATGCTAGAAAGAGTGGGTGAGGAGAATGGAAAACAAGAAATGATAACTAATTCAACACCACCCAATTAAAAGGCAGCACTGGGGCCGTCCCTGATGGCGCAGCGGGTTAAAGCACAGCATTAAGAATCTAAAGCCACTTCCACATGAGTTCGATTCCTGCCTGCCCCCAGAGGTGACCACATGGCATGGCAGACCTCTCCTGATCCTCCCACTGCTCCCTTTAGCAGTGAACTTCACTGATCTGCCTGTTCTGCTCCCCACTCTGTCTCTGGTGAAGCCTCTCACTGCCCCTGCACCTCTGGCCTGTACCCCAGTTCTGTATGCATCAATAAATAAATCTTAAAAAAAAAAAAAGGAACTAGATCCTTCTATGAACTATCGAAATAGGGTAACTAAAAAGATAGATTTGGCACCATTTGCTTTTCATCCTAGATCAAAGACCAAGACTATGAGCTCTTTATGAACTTCATGAGTTTTTAAATTACTATCTGCCCCATAACTGCTGTTGGGATGCCTATGAATACTCTGTAGTGCTTATCAATAAAGCTCTAGAAAAGAAACAAGAGCTGCCTGGTGGCTAAGGATATGTGATGAGCTGGTGACAGAATTAGATAAAAGATTATATCTGTTCTGCTATGAATTCCAGAAACAGATCTCATTGACTATGGCAAATCTGCAAAGAGAGACATCGACCTGGTTTAACCTTTTCTGGAATTTGCCCACAACGTAGCAAAGCAATCCAGCCTGTAGGCAAACAAAGTTTCAATAAAACAGGCCACTTTGCCACAGAGTTCACGCTGATCTCCACTCTCCTTTTTGTTCCCAAACCCAAGTCAGCTCCTAACCTTAAAATTTATTTTACTCTTTCCTTGGCCCTGTCTCTCCAGCTTGATTTATTAGATGCCTTATTTTGTAGCTTCTGAATTCATTTCCCTCTTCCCCTGATCATAGAAGAAACACCTCTCTCACTTCTGAATCTGTAACTCTGGAAATCATAAGGAGAGAGAAATTTGAAGAATTTCAGATCCCAGCAAGGGAGTTTAGCTAGAAGAGCATAGACTGATTTATCTAATAATCCCCATAGAAAAACAAATTAAGATGCAAACCAAATAGCTTGTCTATATAATATCATATCCATTAGGTCATTTTTTTTAAATTGTCCATGTGACTGACCTTTAAAAACAATGATCTGTAGGACTCTAAAGGTAAGCTATTCAAGAAAGAGGCCACATGTGGCTATAGAGTACTTGATATGTAACTAGTTCAAGGTGAGAGGTGCCAGAGTGTAAAATACCCATTCAATTTCAAAGATTTAGTACAAAAAAATAGAAGAAGAAAAAAAAAGAAGAAGAAAGCAAAGAGGTGGGTCAGCACCCTGACTGGGGATCGAACTCAGGCCATTGCAGTGATAGTGTTGAGATTTAATCCTTAGGCCACCTGGGAGGCCCAGTTTTTAATTCTTAAGGTGCTTCATTGTGCTCTTGCCTCAACAAGCCAATGGACATCAGTAGCCCAAGAATAGGGCCCGACTCTGAGCATCCATATTTTTCAGTCTCAGCAGCCTCCAAAGAGGAACTCAACTGACATCAAGCCACCACCACTCTTGGTAGCTGGAGGAGCCAGTGAGTCCTTTCTAGACAGTGCACATGGCATTCACCACTGTTTCTGATTGTGCAGTGAAGACTGCATATTCAAAGCACAATTCTTCCTGAAAAATGACGAACAATAAAACGTGGATATTTATCTTGGTACTTACTCAATGTAGTTATAAGGCAAATAGGAAATACCAAAAATATCTAATCTAGTAGCTGGATATAAACTAGTTGTTGAATAAGACATATAAAAGACAACACTTTGTCTAAACAATTTTTAAAACAATTTTATACATATTACATGTATAATAAATAGTACAGACAATGCTTCAACAGGTAGTAACCACAGGGTAAGTAAATTCAAGATTTGCAAAAGAAGGATTCCAAGCAAGAGTAGCAAGTTGAATAGCATACAAAGGTCTGAATCCAGGACACAAACTAATCAGGTTAAAGAAAAGTTCCATGTAGGAAGATACAAGAGGTTAAACTAGGAGTAGAAATCGGAAGTAGGTTGCACAAGAACTGAAGACTACTTTAAGGTTCTAGGGAGAAAAGGTGATAATCACCTAGCAGTAATTCAGGAAGGTAATTTAACATCCTATGCCAAAATACTCCAGCTCTTCCAGAACTCTGTATGCTTTGCAAAGCAATGTTGTTCTAATTATTTTTACCACATACTGTCACATGACACCTTTTCAGTTTTATTAATAATTGATCTTTCAATACATGGGAAATTCCTTGGCATCAGAACATCACACATAAATAAAAATCACAGGGGAGTACTGCCATTTACTTTTGAGAAAGATAACCTTACACAGAAAGACTGGTGATGAGTGACTCAAATAACTAGATCGGTAGTAATCAGATACCTCTAACAACTAAGTATCTGATTGCCAGATACTTTGAAGTTGCAGTGAAATATCCAAATATGATAAAAAGCATACTTGGGGGTGGGGTTAAGATGAACAAACAGTTAATAATATGGAAGCTGAAATTAAGAGAAATACTCTTTTTTTGAGTATTGGTAAAGAAGACAGATTTTAATGAAACTGTCTATGGGAACTACTTAATCTTTTTTCTTTTTTAACTTCAAAGAATAAAATGCAGAATGCTAATGATCAAAAACAGATATCTGCTTATACTGATACAAATCCACACTCTTTATCCTATAACGGGAGTTTACCATCGATTTCCTCAGACTCAGATTAGCCCCAAAGAAGGGTGGCAGGTGTACAGCTCAGCCCAGGACCCTGATGGACGATGCATCTGCACAGTGGTGGCTCCAGAACAGAACCTGTGCTCCCGGGATGCCAAAAGCAGGCAGCTCCGCCAACTGCTGGAAAAGGTAAGTGCCCCATGTCGCTTGTGCATATTGTTATTTCAGTGCACTGTTTTTAAAGATATATTTATGCATGCAAGTGCTGGGATGTAGGATAGAGATGATTTAACCGAGACAGAGTCAGAAGTAGAACAGGAGGATCTACTGAAATACACTGCTGAGGGGAGCAGCTGGCAAGACAGGAGAGGTCTGCTGTGCTATGTGGTCAGCTCCCTGGCTGGGAATTGAACTCCTGCTGCAGTGGCTGCTGCTAGCTTGACGTGTGTGTTTTGTTTTGTTTTGTTTTGTTTTTAATATTTATTTATGCATTCAGAATTGGGGTACAGGCCAGAGGTTCAGGAGCAGTGGGAGGATTCACCAGAGACAAAGTGGGGAGCAGAAAAGGTAGAATGACAAAGTACACTCCTGAGGGGAACAGCAGGCAGGTCAGGAGAGGTCTGCCTCGCCATGTGGTTCATCTCAGAGGCCAGAGATCAAACTCACACTGAAGAGGCTGTGGCCTCTTAACCCATTGAGCCTCTTAACCCCTGTGGCCTCTTAACCCCTCTTCACACTGAAGAGGCTGTGCTGCGTCTTAACCCATTGAGCCACCAGAGAGAACAAAGAGTGCTGTGTTTTTAACCCTGATGCTACCAGGGAGGACCTGAAATATACTGTTCTTTGAACAGGAAATGGGAAAGCAGGTAATGGTGTGTGAGTCCTCTCCACTTTTCTCTGCGTGGTCAAATGGATTTTTTTCTTGTTTCTTCAAAGAAGTATCTCATACTTCCACTTAATTGTTTTGTGGACATGACCACTTTTCCCAGTGTTTGCTTCTTAAGACTCACTGTGTATACTAAATCTTACTATCCCAGTCAGTTTCCTTAAGAGAAAACACACACACACACACACACACACACGAAGTCTTATTCCAATGTCAGAAAATGAGACTCAATGTGCAGGATCATACACTAAACCCTTTGAACTGATACTTTTGCGTCCTATTAACAACCTTAGAAGGAAGTTAAAATAAAGCCATGAAATATGCAAGCTATCTGGACAGATAATGAATAATTCCAAGTATTTATCAACATCCTGTAAGTTATTCCTTTGAACATGAAGCTCTTCCATTTCATTGGGTAGCATTCTACTCATATCATTTACTTAAGCGAGATCTGTTAGAATCAAATGTGGAATGCCCTTGATTTATTCTCTTTCTAAAGATAAAAGTCAGCTTATAAAAGGTTATTAATGTTTAGTATGGGGAGGAAAAAAATTAATGGCTCTTTCAGTTATTCTCATTCATATTTTCAGTATCTTGAGCTTTGACAGGATAGCTGTGACAGCCAGACTGATGGAAGTATGAATGTTTGAATTTAAAAACCATAAGATACATTAGAAACTAGGTGCTTTTAAAAGCCATCATGCTCAACAATTTGTTGTGTGAAATACCGTTTCCATGATCAACTACCTAATTATGGCATCGAATAACAACTTTTTAAGGAAATTAGAGAAGAATTAGTAGAGTCATCGCTAGGTTATACAGTTTCAAGCCTCATCATAACTTTCTTCCACTGGCATGTAATGATACTTCCTCTGTGTCCACTATTTTTAAGATTTTGTTTTTTCATGTAAAGAATAATCTGTTTTCTCCTCTTCTCAAAAGAACTATCATCACTATAGGCTCCCTTTTTAAGTCTCTTTTTATAAGCTGTCATCTTCTCAAGTTCATCAATTTCCAGCCCCCAGACAAAGACAGGTGTCATTTACATTCAGTTAATGACTCTAGCTAATGTGCCTCTTAACAGTTAGAATTCTGACATATGAATTATGATGATTGTTCTTAGGTCTCATTTTCTAAGCTAGGTTTTGTTTACTTTTATGAAAACCATCCAAGTATACTTTAATATTGTTTGGTGACTAGGGAAATTAATTACATTGGTAAAGACTTACTCTTTTAAATCTAATGTTGCTTTTTGATTAAATTATATTTCCCCTCAGATTGTTAGCTTTCTGTTACAGTCTTTTCTGTGCAGAAATACATTTCTTCTACATCAAGGATACTAATAAATATGTTCTTAGACATAATCCTATTTGTGACACTATTTTTCAATAGAACAATGCATACACAAGTCCACACAAAATCTCAAATTCTTTAAAACAGTTGAAAAAATTCAAATAAAGCAATAGCTAATATCCTCTTCAAGCCTAACATGTAATGTATTCTAGAACTCTGATCAAGCCAAGAACTGATCAAGGATGAATAAGTCACAAAAAGAACAACCAACGAGGCTGACTGGAAGAAAGCATTGCAATTCATATGTTCACTCCATCAGAGCAGTTTTAAAGAAAGTCTAGAAAAACCACACCTTGAAAATGTTACCAATACCTAAGTACCAAAGACACAAATAAAATTTATTCATAAAATCAAGACCATCACCAGTTTGATTTATCAATTTTAAAATTCACCTTTGGTGGTAGTAAGCCAATGGAGGAAGAGTAAATTGAGAGTAATTATAGAAGTGGCCCAAGTATTCCTAACACAGACAGAGCTGTCACTGCTGACTTCCCTGTTGTTTCATATACTTGGATGATACCAGATGACAAACAAGAACATAACCTTAAAGCAGCTCATTCACCATAATCAGAAGATTCATCGACTCATATGACAAGGAAACACTGTTAATAAAGTTATAAATAATAATAATAGTTCTCATTTATTTTATCTATGTCCATTCCCTGCAATCAATACAAGAGACAGTTGTCTTTCTAGGATTACATAAAAGGAAACTGGTGATTTTTGCGGTTAAAACAAAACAAAACAAAACAAAAAACACCAATCCCTCTGAACCATTAGATTGTGGAGCTATACCAGATCAGCTTTGCATGTTTTCAATACCATGTCAGTGTCTTCCAGAATGCCTGTCAGCCATCGCGATACTCACACTTCCTTAAGTGATCCTTTGTCAAACAATTTAGGTAAGCAGTCACATAAATGAGTATTAGAAAAATTATAATTGGTTTTAAAATGTTATGTATGCATGAGTGTACCCAAACTAAGACTGTTAAGTTCCAAAAAGGTTTCTGTGTTATTATGTAGTCCCTACACAGTTGAAGATGACCTGCATTATCCAGGTCAGCATTTCCTAAAGTGAGATTTTTTTTTCTACTAGAATACTGACATCATCCTCACCAACAAAATAATTTTGAGAAACAAAGCAATGATATCGATATCGCACGTAAGGATTTCCATCACACAACTGAATACCAAAGGTTCTTTGAGGGCCTACAATAAAGGAATCCTGTTTCTTTTGTTAATCCAAGGTTATGCAAACATATTAATCTGTGGGGCTTTTTTTCCCTCAAGTGGCTCCTATAGTATTTGCATGAGAATAGATAGCAAATTAAGAAAATGTTAATTTGTGTTGAAGTTCAGGAAGGCCTCAGATACTCTCTTTACATGAAGAATCAGGGCAAATAAAGAGATCAAACTATGTATCAATTGAATATATCAATGAAAGGAGAAACTGAATTTGCCAAACTACAAAGAGAGTCCAGGGAGAGGCACATTATAGAAAGCTGAGTTGTAAAGTGTGAGAGACAAAGAGAGGAAGAGAGGAATCACGGCACACGGGCCTCCTTCCTACAAGAGTAATTGTGGGGATCTAGACTCTGGTATCATCAGGATACTGGTTCTCAGTGGGCCTCCATGATCTGTGAAAACTAAACAATGCCCAGCACAGCCATCAGGAAAAGCACAAGACAGCCCAGAACCCCATCCTTGCCAAATGCACTGCTCCATCTCCAGCCATTACCCCAAATCAGTTCTCATAACTATATATGCTTCTGCTTTTAAAAGGTCACATACCAAGACTCAGCAAAAATTCAATGCATTTTTCCACATCACAAATAAGGCTGAAAATGAGCTTGATGGAGTAAGTCAGTGACCAAAGCAAAGGCAGGCTGTTTTAATTTTATCTTGAATATCTCACCTGCCTATCATTTTCTAATTACAGTCTCCCTTGGTACCTAACTCTCCTACCAGAGGGTACTGACCATGCCAGTGATGGCTGTCTTCATAGCCAAATGCCATAGCCAGATACAAATTTCATTAACACAATTGGCTATCTTTATTCAGACTTAACCATAACCAAGTTAAAAATGATTTTAAGGCACTGCATTTATCTAAGATGTTGTGGGTTAAGAGAAGCCAAGATGGAGTTCTCTGCCTTTTCTGGCTGTCCCAGTTCTGAATGTATCAACAATAGACTCTTTATAGCAACCTGGTTCACGAAGCTTCGTGACTTCATCTGATGACAAAAATTTGTCTCCAAATAAACCACCGCTTCCTTATTTGTAACTCAGTTTTTGTAATGAAAATAACATCTGACTTATTACATAAGCATGTATTTGTTTAAATATAAATGGAATAACACATAAAAGTACACAAGACAGTACAACTCACCTGAAAATCTACAACTGATTTTTGGTGCCCATGCTTTCGTATCAATCTATGTAAACAAAATATGATGTCTTTGCAGCTGGATTAAAACATATAACATACACTAAGGCACCCATTCTATGCTATATATTAATAAATATTATATATGTTACTCCAATGATATTTTACTCCACACCAAAAAACTAACATTAGCCACCTAATATACTTTTTTCTAATCCTTTTGTACATTTCTCCATTATGTTTTGCTTATATACTCCATATTCTTTTTTATATAATTAGGCACGTGTGTGTGTGTGTGTGTGTGTGTGTGTGTGTGACAGAGAGAGAGAGAGGCAGCGAGAGATTTGATTTAGAATAAAAAGATCTACTATATAAAGACAATCAATTTACTTTTCTCACTTGTTTCTCATGGAAATCCCTCTATGTTGCACAGTACTAGTCAAAATTTGATCGATATAGGCACTGACTAGGGATCTTGCTAACATACAGACTCTGATTCTGTAGCTCTGTAGTGGATCCCAGCATTTTGCATTTCTCACGTGCTCCCAGGTGAAGCCAAAGTTTTTGTTCTGTAGACCACAGTTTAACTACCAGAGGTATAGACAGCCATTGGTTCTCTGTAGCAAGTTCATATCCCAGTCCTCCCTCACTCATGTTTTCTCATATCATCAGGTTTCCCTTTATTTTCTTGTTTTTGCTGCCATAAAAATCAAAACATCTAGGGCACTCCTTGGTGGTGTAATGGGTTAAAGCACCACATTATGAAGCTCTCTGAAGCTACTGCAGCACGAGTTTGATCCCCAGCCAGGGAAGCTGACCCACATGGCACAGCAGACCTCTCCTGACCTGCCCGCTGCTACCCTCAGCAGTGTAATTTGTCAATCAGCCTGTCCTGCTCCCCACTCTGTCTCTGGTGAGTCCTCTCACTGCCCCTGCCTCTCAGGCCTGTACCCTAGTTTCGTAAGCATAAATAAATCTTTTTTAAAAATTAAAACATTCTTTATTTCCTCATTTCAACATGCTCTCCAGGTCATCTGCTTCCTACTAAACAGTCTGATATCAATGACCCTGGTCAGTGCCATCAATTTAACATTATCTGTATTGCTCACCTGCCAAACACTTGATACAGTTACCATTTAGGTCTCTTAAGCAGTATGTTCTCCTAGTTAGAAGCATCCTACAACTACTACTGCCAGTCTTAACCAGTTGGGTTTCATCCCTCAGAATACTTCAGATTCATTTTGAAGAAATGCGCTAGAATGAATGAACTCTAAGTGTGCTGGACCCTTCACCACCATGCATAATTACTAGGCATCCCAGTGCTTTATGTCAGATTTGTACTCACAACCTATTTATTTTAACATTTAACAAATTGGGGCATGATAAGCTTAAAAAGAATTGGAATGAAAAACCTATTTTAAGAGTTTATTTTTCGTATTTATTAGATTCCTATTTAGAGTCAGTCACTTTTAATGCTAGAATGCCCCTTTTATTATTTCCTGCCTTGGTGTAATTTTCTCTTGCTGAATTTCATGAGTATTTATCATGAAGAACTGTCCTAACACTAAAAATATGTGTGGAAATGCAGTTGTGGATTTTGCACGTCTAGTTCTTAATGTCATTTTACTGCTTCAGTCGTGAATGAGTATACCTGTAAACAGACACTAATGTACAGTCAATGTTCATGTTTAACAGGTTCAGAACATGTCTCAGTCTATTGAAGTCTTGAATTTGAGAACTCAGAGAGATTTCCAATATGTTCTAAAAATGGAAACCCAAATGAAAGGGCTGAAGGCCAAGTTTCGGCAGATTGAAGATGATCGGAAGACACTAATGACCAAGCATTTTCAAGTAGGTTTGACTTCTACAATCTTGTCAATCCAAATGAGATGTTGAGTGCAGTGGACAGCCAGCATGGCACTTAGCTAGAAATAACTGTCTTGGCCCATGCATGCAAGGTTAAAGACTCATCAGGGACGTCAATCATCTCTCCACTGAAATTGACCATTAGCTGGAAGGAATGCATGGAACTCTTGCTATAAAAAGAGCCTCATCCTCCGACAGCTAGATGGAAGTTTTAGATACATTTATAGGTGCTTGAATATCTATAGCCAGCAGAAATCTCACAGAAAATGATAACTCAAGTTATTAGCTTTCCTGATGATTTTGTACCCTGCTAATGTGAAAAATTAATAATATTAATCTAGATTATTAAGAGACATTGTACCATTGCTTAAAGCATGTAAAAGGAGGGTTTTGTAATTTTATAAAGTTTTTAAGATTTTAAGTTGTTTATTGGCAATTATCTAGATACACTGACAATGAAGAGTGCTTTTAAGTACGCTATCTAGACTTTTTTTTTTTTTTAATATGGAATGCTTCATGAATTTGCATGACATCCTTGTACAGGGGCCATGCTAATCTTCTCTGTATCATTCCAATTTTAGTATATGTGCTGCCGAAGCGAGCACTATCTAGACTTTTAAAAGTGATGACAATGTCATGAGAAAATCAAATCTGACTGACAATGCTATTTGAGCCTAGATAGTCTATGTTAGAAAGTCTTAGCATAGTTTATGAAATGCACTGTGCTTTTATAAACATAATAGCTTCTGTTTCCACTACCAATTGGAATTGAAAATCATTGCAGGTGTAGGCGGAGTGGGACTGCATGCAAGTCTTTGGTCAAACACTAGAAGTGCTCATCACATATCACATTGAAGCTGGAGATAAGCCACACGCAGCAGTCTCTGCACAGCATGTTACTGTGACAGAAATTTTCAGGGTTTTGCAGTTGTCTTCACTGATATTCAGGAAAGATGTAGGAAGCAGTCTTTCATGGACCAGTTTTAAGTTTTATGAGAAAGACAGCAGAAGTAATAGAGAGTAACAACTTGAAGGTATTGATGAGAAAGAGGACTAAAGGGATGAATCAGGAAGATTAGATGAAAAAAGACTCAAAAAAGCTCAGGAGACTAAAAAATTAGAACAAATTAGAGCAAGACACAGAGGAAAGGATCAATTCAAGGATTGTTCAAAATGAGTAAACTGGAAGAATAGGGAACTGGAGTGGGAAGTGTTAACAGAGAAGAACTGAAGAGTAGAGAGCGAATTAAATTCTAAGTAGTATTTTTGAGAACGGACTATTGTACATGGATTGGGTCTTCTGCTGGGTACATAATACTTCATCTCTCTTCTATGATAGACAACAGCTAAAACTGACAGTAGCTACAGACTAAAGAGCACCAAGCAACAAAAAAAGGAAGACAATCAATTCTGTGGCAAGATCAGGAGGTGAATAGTTCTAAGATTAGACAATATTTAAGAGAGGATAAATGTCCTCCCCCACCAAAAAAATCAAGCAAACACTAAAGCATAGAGGTAACTGAGACAACAGAAGGGCTTCAATATCAGCTTTCAACATTTGGGCTTGGGGTGTGGACAATGAGGCAGTCATGGGAGAGTCTGGTCCCAGGGCCATCAACATAGGAGGAGCGTGGGGGAGAATGACCAGAAAGGAAGAGGGACAGAAGGAAAGGAGCTCAGGGGGTCTGGTGCAAAGTGAAAATGACTCAAGCTCACTTGGACGATGTGGAACTCTGTGATGCCAAGGGGCAACTTCAGGATGCCAGGGCTGGCTGAGCCAGGAACGCAGGATGAAATGTGCATATGGAAAAGCCTGGAGAAGACAGGAAGCAAAAAGGAAAGACACAAATCTGAGGGAACTCCCAGGGCATAATTTGCCTAATCTGTAAGTTTTCCTAGCAGCACTCAGGTGCTCTACAAGAAAATTTAATTTTCAGGCAGCACTATATAATGATTTCTTAAAAAAAAAAATAGTTCATGTAGTCTAAGTAGATAGTGAAAATAAATGCAAAATCCAAATAGTTATAAAGATAATGTTATTCACCTTAAAAGTTATATATTTTCAATGTGTAGTTATGGGAACTTGAATATATATTAACAAATCTAATTAATACTCCTAGAAGATTTTTTTTTTATTCCCATCATCCAGATGAGAAAACTGATGTACAAAGAGGTTGAGCACTTCATCCAGGTTATATATTTAGTATCTTTCAGAACCACAAAGCCAAGCTCCAGCTTGTTAGAAACTAATATGTTTATTTACAAATACCAATGAAACATTTCCTCTCTAGATGTTAGCTTTCTGAAATAAAACTAATAATTAGGTGCCTAATATATGTTGAATTAGTTATTCAATGACTGTGACTGTCAATCCAACTTTGCTCTAGGCACTAAGGTGCCAGAGTTTAGAAGAATAAATGGAACACTCCAGAAGTGAGTTTAACATCAAATAATACTTTCAAATCAGTAGAAAATCCTCCTCTGATACACCATTTTCAATTTATCAAAAACACTAAATAGGTTTTATCTTCTCTTTAAGATGAAAAGTTTGCTCTAATCCTCATTCTTGAGGCTATTATTCTACAGCCAAAATTCTGGCCGCAGAATTTTCTGTCAAGAACAACCCAGCAAAACATGAATTTCTAAAAGGCATTAGCAAGCACAGATCCACGCTGTTCTACTTTAACCTTTGAAGTGTTCCTTTTTTGGGGGGGGGGGAGTTGGACTTTCCACTGCTAAGTGCTCAGAGTTTCACAATTGACTGATAATAATCAAATGATGAAATTTTAAAAAGGTTTGGAAACATATCTAGTTCTTTCTAAGTCCATTTTGGGGAAAATACCACCAAAATTTTGACATTAAATTGTTCTCTTTTTCAATATTCTGTCAGTAGAATGGAAATTCTTCACTATAATGGTTGCTGTAGTATGCAGCAAATGGAACCAACAGAACACTTCTCATTAAAATCCTAATGAAGCAATTGTCTCTTCCTTTAGGGATGCCACAAGATGCTTAAACTAATAAGTTTACTTCTGAGCAAAGCTCTGCAATTCTTACGACTGTGGTATTTATGAATTTTTCTCATTATTCAGACTCTCTTTACCCTCCCACTCAACATGGACATATAGACAAATTCAGAGCAAGATGAAATTTCCTCACAAGAAACATAGCCTATAAATCAGGGCAGCAATGGGAGCTCCTGCTATTTTAATGCACCCATAGTAATAACATCTTCTAAATGTAATTTTAAAATGCAATTTCCAGTTCCTTAAATTAGGGTACAGCATGGTTTCTGACAGTACCTATGGATTATTCTCAAATGATCATCACTGCAACAGCTCTTTCCAAAAGTGATATCATCTGCAATAAATTCCAACTGAGTCAAACATGAAATATTTTCACTGACCAAGTTAAAGGAAAGAAGAAAAGGTGACACATCTAGAAACTGAAAGTGAAGTTGCAGGTGTGACTTTATCCTGTGATGCAAGGGTGAGGCTGTAATCTGAAAAAAAAAAACAAAAAAAAACAAAAAAAAAAAAACACCTCTTTTCTCTAGATGAAAATGCGCATCTCTGTTTCAAAGGATTTTGTATAACTGACTCTTTCAGAACATAAACAGTGAGCACCTTTGTCCCTGGAAGAGTTAATTTCCCACACGAGTAAGCCATTCTGCCTTACACAGAGAGTTCTAAATTATCCATGCTAAGGCAAATGGAGTCAGAGGATGAGTAATAATTCAAAATGGTAAACAGCAACATACATTTCTTGCATGATGTATTACACCTGCTGAACTTACTTTCCTAGTGGTGTTGCAATAATATGGATATTAAAAAAAGCAAAGAGCGTCTAAGAACACTGGAAGGACAGAGAGATAGAGTTCTTCATCGGAGAGGGTGAAAGGAATTCCAAAATCCAAGTATTTCCCTAAGTCCTCCCACAACATGATAATCAGTAAATGGGTAACTAGACTTAACTAAAAAGGCACAGGTGATTTACCTAATTCTAATAAGTCCTAATTAGAAAATGAATCCTGCTTATACTTCTTAGGTAAAAAATGTATTATTCACTTCATAAAAAGCTACTAGAAAGACAGATAAGACATAAATCCATAATTGCTGCCATAGGAAGTCATTCTAATTATGATAACTATCCATTTGTTTTATAGGAAAGCATGAAACCATTTAAAGAGAGGTTCTTACATTGAAATGCTGAGATAAGTGGATTTAAACTAATGATCATGGCTACTTACATTCTCCCAAAATACCTAATTTCAAACAAAAATCATCAAGGAATTTGGAGTCAGTTTTAATAATCTCCTTCAAGTATCGTATTAAAAAGAACATAGCCACTGGGTTAAATAGCTCTCAGGAACGATCGGCTGCTTTTCACAGGAGTTGAAAGAGAAGATGGATGAGCTTCTGCCCTTGATCCCTGTGCTGGAACAGTACAAGACAGATGCCAAGCTAATCACCCAGTTCAAGGAGGAGATCCGCAACCTGTCTGCTGTTCTCACTGGGATCCAGGAAGAAATAGGTGCCTATGACTACGAGGAGCTACATCAAAGGGTGCTCAGTTTGGAAACCAGACTTCGCGACTGCATGAAAAAGCTAAGTGAGTAGAACAACTCATTTGTCTAAGTTACACTGTGAAATAGTTCCAATGAAAACTGCATTCTTAGGTGTTGCAAAGAGTCACAGATACCTAATTACAGGAAAGTCAGTGCCTACTCTCTAAGCCTAATTGTTTCTTCTTTTTCTGTTTTATGGTGGGTGACAGGCTTTTTCTTTTTCTTCTTTTTGTGTTTGCTTTCATATTTCTTTCTTTTTTAATTTATTTCATATCATTCTTCATTTGGTGCCTTTTTCCATCTCGGTTATAATCCTCATGGACTTCCCACCACCAATTCACCCAGGTGCCATCATCCTAGTCCCATGCACCATTTCTACCCCATTTTTTATCCCATTCCCCACTCCACCTTGCTGCTCTACTGACCACAAGGAAGACATGGAACCAACCCAAATGCCCAAAAGTATATGACTGGATTAAAAGATGTGTTACATATACAAAATGGAATATTACTTGGCAATCAAAAGATAAACTCATGCATTTTGAAGCAACATGGATGGAGCTGGACGGGATCATGCTTAATGAAATAAGCCAGAAAGAAAAAGAAAAATTCTGTATTGTTTCACTAAGAGTAAGGGAGAGTAAGGGACCAGGGAGTGGGGTTAAGTGTAATTATGTCTTAATGACCAAAGCATAACAGGTACTTAGTATCATTTGAACAAGTTGCCTGTTTTTCTGAGCACCCTGTTACCCATTTGGTGACTTGCAAGTAGTCTGGAAAATTCAGCTAATTCTATTGACTATATTCATAGAAATTCAGTTTTATTATTGTGGACAGATAACAGGTGATGGTCAATAATTGCTAAGCAAGTAGAGTTTTTTTGGTAGTGAAGAAAGAGGCTAAGTCAGGCAAGGTAAAGTACCCAGGGCCCAAATGTGAAGTCTGGCAATGACTAAAGCAAACCAAAATACTCCTCTACTATGCAAGTTACCATCAGCTGCTTGGATTGATTCAAGAAGTAAGAGGTGGCTCTAAAACATATATTTCCTGCTCTTCAAGGAGCCAATGTATGCCATAGGTTATGGCCTCTAGATCTTGACTTCTAACATACGTGCTTCAACGTGATCTGAGTTTTCAAATGCTTGCATTGCCTCTCTGAGCTAATTATTCCATTACAGTCTGTAATAACACAAAATAAATAAATGGTGCTGTGTTTAATAAGGGGCTTAGGGGCTTTTAGTCCAGTTAGCAACAAGTTTTTAGTTGTTGACATCCTGTGGCATGACAGGGCAACTTAATAGACTTATAAACATGTTCTCTCAAGGAAGGAAAGGAAAAACTTTTCTGGAATAGAAAATGATCTGGGTAGAAAAAGAAAGAATTTTAAAAAATAAAAGAATTTCTAAGAAAGAAATATAAACATTTAAAATTTGAATTACTTAAAAGACCATTTTAGACAACATGCTTTACAAACGCAGTTCAAATGATAAAAATGTGCTTTTCACCAGTTACACCACCAAGGAGGGCCCTTCTGAACACATTCTTTGTACTGTGTTCTTTTTCTCTATCACTGCACTCTTACCTGTCACATGTGACATCCCCCTACTCACTCTTCAGGTCTCAGTTTCAATGTCAAGTCGGTCCAGAATCTTTCACTGCCCCCCCTTTGTGTTTTGAATGTCCCCACTAGGTGCTCCCCAAATCTGCTGGTTCCCTAATGATTATATGTTGTTGTTTCATTGACACTGCATAGGTAATTGGATGTCTCTCTTGTTAGGTTTTAGTTCCAAGAGCACAATAACAATGTTTACGATGCTTATTTCTAAACCTCCTATCTCCCAAAGCCCACAAAAGTCCCTGACTAAGAAAAATTATTCAATAAATATTGGCTGAGTAAACTAATTCTGTAAGAAGCATAGTGATGATTTCTAAACTTTCAAGAGTAAATATTAGCTATTTCAAGTAGTAAAGAACAAACTTTTGTTTTAAAAAAATGTTCTCTTTTAGGCATATATCTGAATCAAAACAACATAGGATCAATTAAGAATAAACAAAGGAAAAGTTTTTTATATAGTACTTAAATAACTCCCTCCTTACATGCTTTGCTTTTATAATTCAGGCTGTGCAGTTATTCATGCAATACAATAGCTCAATATTACCAACAAGAGAGAAATTTGTTTTACGCCTTTTAAATCAAGAAACACCTTTTGTTTGATTCATAGATTAACTACATAACTTTCCAGAGATGATTTAACCAAAAAAGACAAGAAAAATGTCACAAACCAAGAATTGTTTGAGTGCCCTCAATATTTAAGTTACTATGGAATTACAAAGAAGTATTCAAAAGCATATTCAATGAGCTCAAGAAACGACTGATTAAAGATTCTCTGCAAATGACAGTACATAGGACTGGTCTGTATAAGCTCTGATTTACTCTGGGAATTCTATTTGTGGCAGAGGAACATTCAGGACATTCAGAGAATCAATTCACTCTGTCATTTCCAGCATCTGACAATGAACCTGAGCCATAGGCTTTGTATCCGGAGACCAAGCATCTGCTAAGTACAAACTGACCCTATTAAAGCAGGAACAGGCAATAGAATGGTTCTAGTTAGTAAATACCTTAAACCTTAAAGTGTGCCAGTTCTCTTTTTAAAGATCAGCATGGAAAACTCCCAAAGATGACTCAATTTTAAAAATGAACTTTCACTGTTAACCTTGATCACCTAGAAGTTCAGTTCCTGGAAATCATGGCTGCAGAATTAAGCAGTTTTACACCTGTCCAGCTCTTTCATAAGCCCTAGTTTGTTTATTACTAATCCACATACAACTCTCCCCATATAACCTCTTCCAATATTAAAAATAATTTGGGGAGGACAAAGAGAGATCATCTAAATGGACACAAGTTTATCCTATTCCTTTTTACTGAAATCTGAAGAATCTTCCTGTGCTGTCTATCCTTTGATTTTTAGGACTGTGATACACATCATATATTTTTTAACATCAGCCTCCTTTGTTAATTTCTCCTCCATGGATCACAAAGTTAGAAAGAATGTGACTGTCAAATAAACTGCTTTAAAACTTCTTTTAATTTAACTAATCAAAAACATAATATCCAGTGATGGATACAAATATCAAACAACAGTAAGATTAGAATTCAACTTTTTTAATGACATGGTTGCTAAGGTTAGTTGATATTACCTTAGGAAACCTTGAAAACAGCTCTCACATAACATACACTCAGTCCTAAATTATTAGCAGCCCTCATTTCTCTGCTCACTTAGTGAGGCCAGTGCCACAAACAGTGGCTCTATTATTTGTGCATTTTTTGTTCCAAGAACTAGATACTTGGTGCAAGTTAAACTTACTGATTGTCTTCTATCCTTTCTAGGTAGAGCGGATAATTATCAATTGGACAAGACTAATTATGATGTAAAAATTGTAGTTCATAATTGTCTGTCCTGGTGAGACCAACAGCTTCAATCCAAGAAAGAATATAATCACGTGTTCCCTGAAACAATAAATCAATGGCTCTTCATATTTTCCAATAAAAAAACTCTAATTTGAAAGGAGGCATTTAAGATATATGTGTATATTATACACACTTGAAGGGAAAATACAAACATACAATTTTGAGGGAGTGTAACATTAAGTTATAGTGATTGCAACATCAAGCTATAGTGATTGCACTATACTGAGTTATACTACCTTGAGTTAACACTTTATAAAGTGTGCATACTTCTGTGTATCAAACCCAATTATTTCTGAGAGCACTTTTTAACTCTATATGAGTTTTGTCTCATAAGTAAATGCCCAGATAGCAAAATAAAGGACTCACAAAACAGATGTTAATGTTGGGTCCATTAGCAGAAAATATAGAGAAAAGTATCATATCAGGAATTCAGTGTTTCAAAAGAGCCTGTTTGCTAAAATGCCCATGTCTAGCCTAGGACACGGGGTTATGAAGACATCAATAATGCAGTAATGGTAGCCAAAAGACAAACTCATCAATGCCATTTCATTCTTCACAAAAGTCTCTTAACACCCATGACCAATTAACAGAGAAAGAAAATAAAATTGTAACACTGATTGATCTATTTCCACTCACCGTTTCAGTAGATTTACTGTTAGGAGAAAATGTCACAATATACATCCCATGAATTTTAAGACACCAGAAGACAAAGTAGCCTCACTGCCTCCAAGGTCTAAGTTACCCCCAAACAATAAAGAAGGCATCAAAGTAAGCACAAGTCATTGATATCACATGGGCAACGTTCAGCTTATTTCTACCAGAAAATTAAAGTTTTTGAGGAAACAAACCAGGAAAAAAAATGCGCCCTAGTGGCCTGAACGACGTACAGTTAAGCTCTTTCTTAAATGCTTAATTCTCTCTTATGAGAGTCTGTATAAAATCCCCTGTGCTTAATTAAACCAAATCGCATTCCTAGACATGCACAATAAAACTATATGCATGTGAGAATTTGAAAACTTTTCACACACTGCCTGAGATCACCAACAGATGTTTAGTGTAGATTATAATCAGGCTTTCCAGCTTTCAGGTCCTGTGAAACCCCCCCATCAGAACCCCCTTTAGTTCAATTTTAGGGCAATGGTTTGGTGCCATCTAGTGAAGCAAAGGATGCATCCGTTAGGAACACAGTTACAAGGCTTCCTGTTTAACAGAAAGCTCAATAACGCTCAAAGCCCGAGGTCACAAGTTAACAAAACTAAGGTTACAGTCTTGCCATGTTTTTGTCAACCTTGTTTTTAAAACAGAAGTTAAGCTGTCTATGCGGTAACAGTAACTTGTTTACTAGCGTTCCCAGTGCATGCGGCATTTTCCCTGGTACTGGGGACGCAAAGGTGCGCAGCAGACAGTCTCCCCCTACTGGCGAGAGACTGGCATTTCAGTGGGGACAAACCTAACTGCACACCTGCAGTGACAGTGAGAGCCTGCTGCTGACAGGCACTAGGGCAGCTGTTATACATGTGTTCACTGCAAGACCACTACACTGAGCATTATCATTAGCTGATTGTTGAAAAA